CAGAAATGTCGGGTATTTGAATCTTTATTATTTCTGAATATGTGGTCTCCTCATTTTCAAGTTCTCTTATGCATTCGTCAATTTCGTCTACTAAATAGCAGGTATCGTCTATTGCTGGTGCTTGTAAGAACTTGGTGAGAATGACCTCTATCTTTTCTTCTCCTACTTCGAATGTTAGCCTTCCTTTCTTCAAGTCTATAATCGCTCCGGCTGTAGCTAGGAACGAACGGTCTTCCTAGGATAATTGGGGTTACAGTGTCCTCCTTGATGTCCATGATTATGAAGTCGGTTGGGATGTAGAATTGTCCTATGCGTACTGGAACGTTCTCCAGTATTCCGACGGGGTATTTTACTGATCTGTCAGCTAATTGTACGGACATTTTGGTCGGCCTGAGGTCTCCCATATTCAGCTTTTTGCATATGGATAAGGGCATAACACTGATACTGGATCCTAAATCGCATAGAGCTTTGTCTATTACGAACTTTCCTATGACGCAGGGTATGGAGAAACTACCTGGGTCTTTTAATTTAGGAGGCATGCGGTTCTGAATAATAGCGCTACACTCTGCAGTAAGTGTAACTGTTTCATTATCCTTGATCTTTCTCTTATTTGACAAGATCTCTTTGAGAAATTTGGCGTATGACGGCATTTGAGTTATCGCTTCTGTAAAAGGAATAGTAATATTCAACTGTTTAAGGAGCTCTACAAATTTCTTAAACTGTCCTGACGTTTTGGAGTTTATTAGTCTTTGCGGATAAGGGATAGGTGGTTTATATGGCGCTGGAGGTGCTTGAGTTTTTTCACTTGCGGTATCCTCCTTCTCGTTGTCCTCCTTCTTCTCTAACTCAGATTCCTTTTCTGCTTGTTCAGTTGGTTTCTGTTGCATGGCTGAGTTTTCGGTCCTCGGATTGATCGGTTCGTCCAATTCTTTTCCACTTCTTAGTATCACAGCATTTGCTTGGCCTTTGGGGTTCTTTTCAGGTTGTCCAGGAAATGTGCCAGCAGGTGCGGCAGCAGATGCTTGCTGTTGAGCCACTTGTGATATCTGAGTTTCTAACATTTTTTTGTGGGTGGCTAAAACGTCTACTTTTCCTGTCAACTGTTTAATTTGCTCGCTAGTGTGTATGTTTTGATTCAGGAACTCTTTGTTCGTTTGAGCTTGAGTAGCTATGAACTTTTCCATCATCATTTCGAGGTTTGATTTCCTAGGTGCATTCTGAGCAGCTGGTTTTTGATATCCTTGCGGAGCAGTAGGCATTTGCAATGCATTTTCGCTTTTGTAAGAAAAGTTTGGATGATTTCGCCAACCTGGGTTGTATGTATTTGCGTAGGGATTTCCTTGAGCATAATTTACCTGGTCTGGCGGGATTCCGGCTAGCAACGGGCATTCGGGTGCATTATGAGTGGTACTTCCGCATAACTCGCAATTTGGAGTTACTGCAGCGACAGTTGCAGTGGGGTTAACGGTCAGACTATCAATCTTCTGTGCTAGAGCATCTACTTTAGCATTGAACTTTTCAAGGCTGCTGATTTCGTACATCCCACCTTTCGCTGAGGTTTTCTCATTTGGAGTGCGTTCACCTCCCCATTGGCAATGGTTTTGTGACATGTTTTCTATTAATTGATAGGCTTCATCGTATGGCTTATCCATAAGTGCACCGCCCGCGGCAGCGTCTATTGTCAATCTAGTATTGTATAGAAGCCCATTATAAAAAGTATGAATTGTCACCCAGTCTTCTAGACCGTGGTGAGGACATGTTCTCATCATATCTTTGAATCGTTCACATGCTTCGTAAAGAGATTCAGTATCTTTCTGTCAAAATCCGTTGATTTGCGCTCTAAGCATAGCAGTTTTGCTTGGTGGAAAATATCTCGCTAAGAAGACGTTCTTCAATTGCTCCCACGTCGTAACGGAGTTGGATGGTAACGATTGTAACCATGTTCACGCTCTGTCTCTAAGAGAGAATGGGAAAAGACGAAGTCTTATCGCGTCTGGAGTTACTCCATTTGCTTTCACTGTGTCTGCGTATTGTACAAACTTCGTTAGATGTTCGTTCGGATCCTCAGTTGCGTTTCCTGAGAATTGGTTATGTTGTACAGCCGACAGCAATGATGGTTTCAGCTCAAAATCATTTCGGGTAATAGCTGGGGCAGCAATGCTACTTCTAGGCTCCATCTGAGATGGTGTAGCGTATGCCTTCAGCGGTTTGTTCGGAGGTCCTTCAGCCATCTCTGGTTCTTCTTCTTCTGATTTGGGAATGGGAGTGAGAGGATCGGGAATGTTATGTTTGAGTTGGTACTCAATGATTCGGCTTCTTAGGTGTAAGAAGCGTTCTAGTTCTGCGACTGAAGGTTTCAAGATATCGCTTTGTGGGCGATCACTTGGCATACAATCGACAACACTAGTAAAGGAAAAATGAAAATTGTTTACCTAGTCTATACGGCGTAATAGAAGGTTACACTATTGACTAAACGGGTCCCCGGCAACGGCGCCAAAAACTTGATCGCGACTTTCTATGTCTAATACAACTAACTGCAAGTGCACAGTCTATCACGTAGTAATAAAAGATATCGATCCCACAGGGACTCGTAATTAAACTAGTGTTCTCGGGAGTTACTATGTTTAGCTAGGTAGAATATGTTTTAAGGGAATAAGATTGTCACTAAAAGGGGAAACTAAGATTACTATTTAGATTTTAATTAATTGAATCGATACGTAGTAATTGTGTTCTTCAGGGATTTGATAAGTTACTGGTGTAGGAAATAGTTTTCATAGTTCATTTAAGCAAAAAATGGATATTTGAAGACTCTCGTCTCACAATGGTTATTGACGCTAATCATAATCCTAAGGGCCTAACGTACACTTTCGTATTCCGTTCGGGGTTAAAATTACTTTTTGGAAATCTCTAAGTTCTAATTCGTTTTAAAGTGCTTTCGCTGTTATTAAAACAAATGCCTAGTGTTTACTATCTGACCTTACCGCAGCTTTCGCTTGTTGGTTCGTATCTTAATTAATTTCCCACTTTCGTGGCAAAACTACTTTAAAATAAGTTCTCGCTTTCGCGACGAAGTTTATTTCGTAAATCAATTTTAAACACTTAGACCATAAGTTATTTTTGTGAAAAGAAAGTTTTCAAACAAGAGTTATCAAATCCCATTCGAATTATTACTACATATCGATTACCTAAGTTTAGCTAGACATGGAATTTGGAAAAGCAAAACATAAATAATAATAAATAATAAATTGCATTATGATAAAATAGAAGTCGATCAAAATGAAAACCTGTAAATAATGCCAATTGGCCTTTGGGCAGATCCTCCACAGATGTTGGCAGGATTCTGTCTTTAGTTCCAATTCGATCGTACAGTGCAGTAACAATTACAGAAGAGCGGAAATGGGAATGAGGAAAATGGCATGGAAATAAAGGAAAGGGATACAAATAAAACTGGAGAAATGGATACAAATAATAACTGAAAGTAAATTTGCTCTGGAAATTAAATTTGGCAGCACTTCGTGGTATGAATGCAGCTCCCCTTTTTTGAAGTCCCCTGCTTCCCTTTTTATAGAAGTGGAATTCCAACAGTTACCTCTGAGGATGATGGACCTTGAGGCAGATAATTTAGGGAGTAGTGGACCATTTAATGGGAATTGGAACTGCTCTTTTGACGTGTAATCTGAGTGGGGCGTTTTTGCCTGCATGACGGTCGTCACAAGGTGTGACGGTCGTCACCCGTGTGACGGTCGTCATGCATCTGTGATGGTCGTCACATCAGCAAAAACTGTCTGCTGCGTTTTTCATTGTGTTTTCACTCCTTTTTCGTCCATATTTCATCTGGGATTGCTTCTTTTCTTCATGTTGCCTTGTTTAGACGTGATCGTTGAATACCTGCAAAAACATCAGACAAATACATGGAAATAACCCGAAATCGGATCGAAAACGGTTAGACTTTAGTTGAATTATGCATGAAAATATCTATATGATTTCGTGTTATCAAACATCAACAAAACTTAATTCACTAACTGTTTGCTTCAAGCTAATTCTCCACAACAATTGTCACTAACCTCATGTTCAAATAAACGCCTAACAGTAATATAACAGGTAGTTCATATGTCTCATAACACTCCAATCAGCATCATGGTGGCTCAATGAGCAATGCAAGAGATAACAAACCTACTAATTTCAGTTTCGTGACAGTGCTAATTTGGTTCAATACAACATGACTCACCCTAACACTTCAATTCCATTAATCAGCTTAGAAATCCCATTAAGATGATATTGACAAGGATACCGTAAAATCAGACATAAAGCTTTGACGGTAAAATGTAAATATTATAATGTTACAGTTATTAAACCGAATCAAGAGCCCACCCCAATTGGGTTCTTCATTCATAAAATAACAATCACAAAAGCCGTAGACATTCAACTACCATAGCAAGAAGATAAAAACCAGTAAAACAAATCAAATATGTATGTAAGCTCAAAATTTTCAACTCAGTATTCTCAGCAACATATCCATTACATAAAGAACTTTTATCCCCCAATTTTAAGCATAACAAGAATTGCAGTCATAAAGTACAAATATGCATTCAACATAAGTCTAAACTAAGCTATATGCATTTAAAATAAGTTTAAACTGTGTTAAGTAATCCCATTGAGAAAAAACAGACCAACTAAGAAGCATATCAAGTAAGGTAAAAAAGCAGACTAAAACAGGTATCGGTATCTACAACTTAATTCAAACTAATTTCATTCACTATAACCTTACAATTTATTCATATAACCAAGTCCAAATTTGAACAGTGCTAACTTCAAACTATAACAGTTTACTAACAGAAATTTTGTATACCATTTTGTATACCAAATTTGATTAACAAACACCTAAAAATTATACGAAAGCATCAGTGGTAACTTGACTTCGACTAATGGCTCTAAAAAGTTTTTAGAATCTAGGTGATTGTTATCTACAAGTCAAGTAAATGTTTAAAAATTTATCTAAATCAAATTACAATTAAATTTTCATCATCGTCATTGGAATCCTCTTCATCTTCATTTTCTTGTATTGTTGACAAACTAACCTCTTCACCATCAACTTCATCATTTTGTAGGAGATCAATTGGGTCATCTTCAAACACGAGTAAAGATACTCCATAATTACAATTTACTATAGTACTTCCTATTGTGGTCTTATTAGAAACACGAGTAAAGATACACAATGCTGAAAGGGTTAGGAAAAAATTCAATGGAAATTGGAAATTTGTTAATAATTATAAGGATCATGAAATTTTGAAAGAAAAATATGACCTACTGACTATCCGAGTTATATACAGAGCATAGTTTACCGATGAAGGGTAATACTGCTGCAAGCAACGCTTTAGGACATTCTTCGTGGGGTAGATGGCCACATCCTGAGATTGCAACCAGTCTCTGCATTTTGAATGGATAACTATTAGAAAACTCTAAAAAGTAACCATATAGCATTAAAAATCGTAGAGAAATTTCAGAACAATGGAGTGGGATTCCAAAGTGTGAATTGTTTTCTACCTTGTAGTTTCCACTATTACCAAGCACGCACCCACACACTAATTTCACAGCCCCGAATTGTGGAAAATGGATAAAATATTTCTATGTCTACATTTACAACACCCACATATGAACATAGTGCAAACAACTGTTACAAATGAGAAGTAACATTGCCAAGTAAATAGAACTTCTGACTCAGGAGACAAATGAAGTTTTGTTTAAGTTGTGCATTTCATCAAACAGCTAGAAGTCATAAAAAAAAAACCTGATGCCAAGCAAATCAATAGCTAAGAAATCCAAAATCAAAAACACTAATACTACGAATTTGGAGAATAAGTGAAAAGTGAAAGCCATAAAGAATTTTAGATTCTATAACAAGCTAAGGAAAATTGATGAAGAAATAGAGAGACAAATTGAATACGATGAGCAATCAGAAGCTATGATTTGTTGAAGAAATTAGGGATACAATGAAGAGAGAAATTACAGAACCTGGAAGCGATTTCAATCTGGAAGTGATTTTGGGCTATGATATGTTGAAGCAATTTAAATCTGAGATGCGATTTTGGTATGAAATATAGGTTTCAACAATCTGAGCGTGCAGGAATCAAAATAGCAAAACCAAGTTATTATGTGAAAAGAGTAATTAACAAATTATACATAACTTTTGTTTCATATAAATAACAGTTGATGGTATTGTCCCAATGATAAATTACTCTAACTCATGTGAGAAACAACGTGGGTTCGATACTCACCTCTTATATGTTTATCAAAATTTGTTAAACTTTTTATTTATTTTATATTTCAAATTTTTAAACAATTGTTTTTGATTAAAAAATATCATTTATTTAAAAAATATTTTGACATAAATTGTGTGACTTGTCGTTTTTGTTCATAGTAGCCTTTAAATTGTATGGAGTTCATAGTAGCCTTTAAATTGTATGGAGTAATAAAATATATTATTATTTTTAGAAAACATTTCTGCAAGCCTTTGCTAAATATTTTAAAATAGGTTTGTTTTTAGATTATATATATAAATAAAAAAAAAATGAATATGTCAATTATATTTTACAATTTAATTTAATAATAGTAAAAATATAATTAAATAAATAAACTTATTACACTTTTAAAATTATATCATAAACTTATATTTTACAATTATATCATAAATTTATATTTTTGATTATTTAAATTTTTACAACAATAAAAATTATTAAATGAATAAATTTATATTTTACAATTATATCATAAACTTATATTTTTTATTTTTCTAATTTTTACAACAATAAAAAAGTATTAAATAAATAAATTTTCTTTACAAAATAACTAAAAAAACCCAATAAATATTATAAAACTTTTTTAAGAAAAACAAAAATCTAATATAAAATTAAAAAATGTCTGAACAACATATTCTTGAAATCAATATGTGTTGTAAAAATATAATAAAATTAAAAATAAATTAAATAACTCGTAGCAAAATTGCAGAAAAGTTTACAGCAAATTCCGCAGCAAATCTCGCAGCAATTCCTGCGATATTTCCAGAGAATTTTGAGGTTTCAACAGATAACTAATTCCTGCGAAGGAAATCGCAGACAATTCCGCAGGAAATTTAATTTTTGATTTTAAATTCAAAATCGCAGCTAAGATCTCAGGAATTCCTGCGAAATTTGCTGCTACTACGTTTTTTGCAGGAAATGATGTTTCAAAATTAGAAGCGCAGGTAAAATCGCACGTATTTCTGCGGAATTATTTCCGAAGGAAAATCCGCAGGTAAACTGTGTATTTCTGGTAGTGAACAAGAACCTAGTAAGAACTCGATTACCACCCCTTTGATTGATGGATGGAAACGCTACATAATATATGGAAATAAACACAATATACAATATACATTTGGAGGAAGTATCATCACTATAATATACAATATATTAGAATGTAGTCATCATACAGTTGGAGGGAGTATCATTTTATTTCATTTTTTTATTCAAACACCATCATGTATGTGAAAGACTGTGCATAGAAGAATGCATGTCAGCAGTCTTAGGTTTAAAGATAGCTAAAAGAATAGGTGGTATGAAATGCACCATACAATTTTTGGGGGAGGAGAACTGTTCAGATCAAGTGTAGACTACATACAAGAATGCATGTCAACAATCTTAGGTTTAAAGGTAGATAAACTAACATACATTATCACATATTTTCTTAAAAATTTGTTTGGTTCACTTGCTCTAAAACAGAAGGTGTGCATGATGAATACATTATTGTTTATTTTGCTATGGAATATTATAAGTTTCGAGAACATTACTTATCACCTTTTTCTTTTTTTTTTCAGGAAAATTTTGTGAATTTATGTTCACAAGTTGAGTCTCATCCTCAATCTTTTGAGTCTGGTAATGCTAAGAGTGATACTCAACCCAAGCCTATTGATTATGATACTTTAATTATTGAAGTTGTTGGAGGAATAAATGCAAAGGGTGGAGTATATGGACTTAGTTTAGATGGAAGTATGCGAGCTTGTGTCTCAACCACTAGGTCAAATAAATATTCGAATTATGCTGATATTGTTCGTGGTGTGAGTGGAGAGGTTGAGGCGCGATTAAGACAAACAATTGCAGGCCAATAAAAACAATCAATTCCATCCTTCTCGACAAAATAAAATGTTTTCCGTATTTGCCAAACATGCAAATATTGATTTGGATTCAATGGATTTTGATGAAGATGAACTTTCTGTTGGTAATGCTAGTCATGAATGTAATGCAAATAATGGTAGAGATGCAGCTCATGAGTAATATTGTTGTTTTTGGAATGTAGAATTTAAAAACCATTGGAAGTTTAATATTTTGTTGGATTTCAAGATATTTTGTAGGCTTAATATTGTTTAATACTTATATGTTGTTAAGACTTTGATACTTATGTTATGATGACATTGGTATTTGCAAGTGAATTTTAGTTTGATTGAGTTATTAAAATTGTTATGATTAAATTAGTTTGATTGAATTATTGACATTGGGATAGAATGTTAGAAAAAATTTGTCAATATTTTGGATTGAAATATTAAAATTTCGTGACTATAAATTAGGATAGAGTGTAAGAAATTTGTCTCAATAATGGGACTGAATGTTTTAATTTTGTCGTGATCTTGGAACAAAATATTACATGATTATGATGATATTGAAACAAAATGTTTTGAATTCTATTGAGATATTAGGACGAAATAGTATAATTATGTCGCAATATTGGAATGGAAAATACAATTTCTCTCGCGATATTGAGACCGAATATACATAATTTGTCGCGATATTGGGACGGAATAAAAAATAATTAAAAAAAATTATTAGATTCCGTCCATAATTTCGTCCCTATTTTGCGACAGAAGTTGAATTTCTGTCCCCAAGCAATTGCGACAGACGAACTGAGACAAAATTATTTTTTTTCTTGTAGTTTATTAGAGATTTCAGTTTGCATCCGTTAGCGGGAATTTCCGTGGGGATTGCCCCGTTCAGAGGGCCAAAGATGGGGAATTTGCCCCCGCGAAAACGGGGATGGGGAGAAAAATTTCCCCAAGAGCACTTCGGGAACGGGGACGAGGAATACATCCCCTATCCCACAAAGTCCCTGCGCCGCCTATTTATTTTGATATAGTTAATTTAATATATAATTTATATTTAACATTAGTTTTTTTTTGTCATTTTCTTTATGTTTAATTTTAAAATAAATAAATATTATTGTATTTATTGAGAGAGAGAGAGAGAGATTAAAACCCTTAGAAAAGATTGAAGCGTTTATTTTCTTCTATCGCACTCGTCCATTTTTTCTTTTATCGTAAAACTTAGGGATGCTGCAGGAGATGGGGATCTGCAAGGAACATGGATGGGGATACAAACTCTCTATAACGGAGATTGGAGATGGAGAATGAATTTGGTGGCGCGAACAAAGAAGAAGTGTCCCCCGTCCCCACCCCATTGACATCCTTAAATTATATGATATATGAGACTAAGGAAAAAGATGAAGAAAATAGGATGATATCACTTATATCTTATAAAAAAATTGGTGTATCATTACATCAATCAAAGAGATATTTATACTACTAAAAACACAAGTATTTATACTTATGTAATAATTGACATTACTATAACTAGAAGTGGCAATTAAATCCATTAAGGCAAAATCCATCCAATCCATCCATCAAAAAATCCATCCAATCCATCCACCACACAAAAAATAAGTTAATGGATTGGATTAAATCCATCCATTTATATGCATGGATGGATTCAATCCATCCATTTATATGCATGGATTGATTCAATCCATCCTACATATTTTAAGGATCCAATGGATTATTTTTATTTTCGTTAGATTTATTTTTTTAAAATTAGATTTTTTTTAAAATAATTAAAAAACTATATTTTTTTTTTGAAAATTTTTTTTTAATTTTTTTGAAAAAAAATCTATTTTTTTTTCAGAACAAAAAACTGATTTGTTTTTCGAAAAAAAAATCAGTTTTTTTTCAGAATAAAAAACTGATTTGTTTTTCGAAAAAAAAGCCGACTTTTTTTTTGAAAAAAAATCGGTTTTTTTTCAGAATAAAAAACTAATTTGTTTTTCAAAAAAAAAAACCGACTTTTTTTTTTGGAAAAAATCGGTTTTTTTTTTCAGAATAAAAAACTGATTTGTTTTTCGAAAAAAAAAATTTTGAAAAAAAAACCGACTTTATTTTTGGAAAAAAATCAATTTTTTTTCTGAAAAATCGGTTTTTTTTTTCAGAATAAAAAACTGATTTGTTTTTCGAAAAAAAATAAATTTTTTTCTCGAAAAAAAAACCGACTTTTTTTTTGGAAAAAAAATTAGTTTTTTTTTCAGAATAAAAAACTAATTTGTTTTTGAAAAAAAAATTATTTTTACGAAATTAAAAAAAAAAGTTGGATGGATGGATATCCATCCATTAAAAATATGTTAATTAATGGATTGGATGGATTTTATTTTTAATGGATGGATCGGATTGGATAATTTTAATAAAATTTTAGTGGATTTTAATGGACTAATGGATTATTTTAATCCATCCATTAGCAATCCAATCCATATTCATCCAATCCATCCATTTTGCCACCCCTAACTATAACATATCACACATATATAATTATGTAATAATTGACATTACTATATTTTTAAGTTTGACATATTACACATAATTGATATTACACATATTTTTAAGTTTGACATTACTATTTTAAGTCTGATGACGTTAAGATATATATTTCAAAATAATAATATATAATTCTTTTATTTATTCTAACAGCTGTATAATTCTTTCCATATTGAATAACCAAATGTTAGTTATCCTTGCAACAATAAAATATTCAAAGGAAATCAACAACTACAGGAGACCCAACTGAAATTCAAAGGAAATCAACAGCTACAGGAGACCCAACAGAAATTCAAAGGAAATCCTGAACAATACGTAAGGCACACGTATCGGATATTGAGGATTTTTTGTTCATTATTTCGCTGTAACAAACAGTTTCGTTTCTATATATACATAGCTTTGCCAAACCAAAACGGTGGGTCCTCTTTCGAAAAACCAAACCATTATCTCGCTTTTCAATTCTCTCGCTAAAATGTCTGCATCGTTTACAAAATCAAACACACCTGTTCGCTCCACCTCCCCTACCTATGCCAATGTCAAAGGCTCATCTTCCTCCGCTAGCAGTTGCATTCCATCCAAAAGTTCCATCATTGTTGCTGTCGCCGGAACTGCGGAGGTAGTCAAACGGCTTAGTCACCGGAAGAAGCGTACATGCATGTGCTCGCCATCCACGCACCCTGGCTCATTCCGGTGTAGCCTCCACAAGAACTCTGGCCCGGCGGTGGCTCCATTGCCAAAAAGTCTCAACACGCGGATATCGGCCATGATGAACTCGCTTGTGAGAATCAGTGGCGTTAAGGAAGAGCTCCTTAGGAGAGCGCTGGCGGCTCAGATTAGATGTTCGTCGCATAAACAACACCGGCGTAATGATTTTCGGCCGCGACCTAGCAGGTTTTCTGTCATGTCCAGATATAGTTAATACACTACAAGGTTTCTCCAGAAACCAACATGCATTGTACATGAGATTGTGCAACTATTCAACAGAACTCATCTCAACATAAGGTTTTGCTGGCCAAGAACTCTACTCAGATTAATATCTCGGGTTTTTCTCCTTGAGCGCGTGAAATTAATGTTAGCCGATCATTTATGTTTAATACTAATTGTCTGTAATATATAATCATAACAGTAGAATTATTACCAATGATGTTAGTTAGTTATGTTTTTCTAGTTTTCCACTAGTTAGTTACATCACACAAGTAAAATTAGTTAAGCTAGTTTAGATTAGTTGCTTGTGCAACAAGCTTTATATTTTTATATGTACAGTCATTGTAATATTTTCTTTTCAATTAAATATGATTCAATATGGTATTAGGAACTTTAAATGGTTGATACCTCTTGGAGTAATTTGATCTCATTGATGAGCAAGAACATGTACAAGTAATAATTGATGGTTTTTCAACTGACTGTAATTCGATATTGGCCTCGATTTTGTCTTACTTATGGCCGTGAAAGAAAAGGTGGGAGAAACCAGTGCTGACAAAAATGTTCAAGACCTTCAAACCAATTATTCTCATAACACACATTTAGGGATGGGAGACCAGAAACCCCCAAGAGTTGGTCTAGTGGTGGAGGCTTGGGTCTTGAGAGTATGCTCTTCTCAAAATCTTAAATTTGAATCTTATACAATCAATCTTTATGATTGGGTCAGTCTATATGGAGTTTTGCTCTGCCTTTAAACGGGACCCCGCCCCACTAGTGGACGGTGAGACTGGAAAGTTGGCCTCAGATTTATGACAAAATTGGTCACACGGCTCTACATTGCTGGTACAAATTTGATGATCATCCATTGAAGGGGCCCTTCAAGATTAATCCTCTATTGCATCACTATTGGTAGTTTTTAACACAATTTATGACCCTGCTTGGCATCCTGACTTAGGATCCACAAACTACATCACAGCAGATGCTTCAAATCTCCAAAACAAAAACTCTTATCAAAGGATCAAAATATATTATGATATTTGGGTGTCGCCTCCTATCAATTTTACTAATAATAGCAAATACTACATTCATTCAGAGATGTTTTTCAAAATATACTTGACTTTACAATGCTTTATTCAATTTAAAGACATGTTATTTTGCAAAAAAAAAAAAAAAAAAAAAAAAAAAATCTTATCAGAAAAACATGATCTTAATCATGTATATGCTTGATTAGAATCATGGCCATGTTTTTTTCAAATGGATTCAGTTTTGAAAATGTGATATGAATCATACATTTGTGTGATTCAAATCAAATGATCCTAATTATGATTTGAAACGTGTTATGCGGTTTCACCATTTTTTTACTTGATTTGATTCATCACTTGATTCGAATCATATCACTTATGCTTTTGACTTAAATTATGAGAACTTTTTTACACTAACTTTGTACCATTTCTCAAGAACATATAATAATTTTTATTATCATTTTTCTAAGAGATTTTTAAGAAAATTCATTTCATCTTCAACATCAAATCTTTATCTTATACATGAGTGTTACTCAACACAGAGAGAGTGGGAGTTTGTTGTGAAAAACGTTTTAGAGTGCTAATATTTTGATTGAATGTTTCTAGCAAGAAAATCTATTTTGGATTTCGGTAGTGAATTTCCAAGAAGAGAAAAGAAGGTTCTTTTCCAAAGGCTTTGGAGTTTTTTGTATTCATATTCATTCATGGACTCTTGCATGTGATTCCAAGTAGATTTTCAAGGATTGTTACTTAAAAGGGACTTGAAGATCTTCAAGTAGTGAAGGTGTTTTAGTTTAAAATCAAGATGGATCTTAACATCAAAGCTTTGTGAGTTGTGTGCAAGTTTGAAGGAAATCAATAAATTTGAATAATTTGCTTATGAGTTAGGCTTATTCAACATATTTCTATGATATCAAATTATTCTAAACAACAATGTTACCAACTGAATTTAATAGAAACTAACAAAATCATGATAAACATATATGAAAGACTAGACTAAGTGCCACGCGAGGAAGAAAGGTACTGAACTAGAATAAATTTAAGTGTATAATCCTCTCTCTGATGAACATTCATGAAAAACTAAATTAGGTGACACGCGCGAACGAAAGGTACTGAACTAGGATAAATCTCGATGTATAATCCTCTCTCTCTCTGTGAATGTTTTATACTCTCTCTCTCTGTGTGTGAATGTTTTACACTCTCTCTCTCTTTCTCTCTCTCTCTCTCTCTCTCTCAAAAGATGTATAATCCTCTCTCTGTGTGTGTGAATGTTTTACTCTCTCTCTCTCTCTCTCTCTCTCTCTCTCACACACACACACACACACACACACACACACACACACACACACACACACACACACACACACACACACACACACACACACACACACACACACACACACACACACACACACACACACACACACACACACACACACACACACACACACACACACACACACACACACACACACACACACACACACACACACACACACACACACACACACACACACACACACACACACACACACACACACACACACACACACACACACACACACACACACACACACACACACACACACACACACACACACACACACACACACACACACACACACACACACACACACACACACACACACACACACACACACACACACACACACACACACACACACACACACACACACACACACACACACACACACACACACACACACACACACACACACACACACACTTGTTTCAAAAGTCTAGGCTTGGTTAGAGTTGTTCTCCAAATTATTGGTTTTATGGTTATTGTGTAATAGCTATAATCAAGAATGTTTATGAGTTTATTCTAAATTTATTTTAACCACTCAATTTGAATCAATATAGATTAAATCCAAACTTCTAATATCTCATCTTTAATGGCTTGTAATCCTTGTGTCACTTAATATAATTAATCCAATTACAAACAATTTTAATAAGGCTTTTCAAATAACCTTACTTCCACAAAAACTCTTATTTGCCAATATTCTTAACTAATATAGTCTATTGAATCCCCCTTTTACAGTTTTTCTTAGCTATACTCACCAACAAGTGACATCTAGAATTTGGTCTTTTGATCAAGGTCTTGCAATCACAAAAGTATGAATATGGTGAAGAACAATCCCAAGGGTGCGTAAAATAGAGTTCCTATCTCTACGGAAGAAAATTATGCGCATTGGAAAGTTTATATTTATGTTCACTCATGTAAGTTGACTTGAAATTTTTGATTGCTTCTGATTAAGGCTATTTGATCCCTTAAAGAATCGTCGACGAAACCATTTTAAAGAAACCTCCTAAGTATTTATATGATGATGAGATAAAGAAAATGTCTCACGGTTTGAAGGCAAGAAATATAATCATCTCTGCTTTAATCGTTAATGTATACTTATCTATTTCACATTGTAAGATTGCTAAAGCAATTGTGTATGTACTTTAAGCTCTCAATGAGAGAATTGAAGACGCTAATAAATCTAATATTAATACTTTGATAAACAAGATTATCTCGCATATTTTATAAACTAGAAAATTCGGGTAAACTATTTCTAACCAGGATTGCACTAATAAAATTCTAAGATCTATGTGTAGAGACTGGCCGCCAAAGGTAGCTGCCATTAAGGAATATCAATACCTAAATACTTTTGACCTGTCAACTCTTTTTTCCAAGTTATAGAAAATGAACACAAGTTAAAAATATTTGAAGCAGGTGAAGGGAATCTTAAGAGAAAATACAATAATACATATGTCCCTAATTATAAGACACTGTTGAGTTTTTTTCTTGTCCCTTTTTATAAGACTCTCTTCAACTTTCAAAGTGCATTAATTATTATTTTTCAAACATACCACTAATTATATAATATCTTTTTCTGCACTATGTAATAATAAATACAGTTACATACACATTAACTATTTCTCTCTCCTAAGAATAAACCAGTAAAATTATACAAATAATTAATAAATTTAATACTCTAATCAACTTTCTTAATTCTCGTGCTTTTCTCAACGGGGTCTTATATTTAGGGATCGAGGTAGTATAAAGGAAGAGAAGAAAAACATATCCTTGAAGACATCTATTGTAACAAAATTAGTTTGTACCACATCTCTAAGGTTTTTATGATAACAACGTATTTAAAGAAAAATTGGGTATACTAACATATGTTCAGGTGTGCAGGACCAAAGACTAAATTTTTTGATATAAAGTCAATTATGATACTAAAGATGAACATTTAAAGAGAAGCTAAAAGATCCAGAATCTGAAGGATCGTAACTAGACTCTGAAGTCAACGTCTGAAGATCGGACTATGAAGAAAGTCAATCTCTGAAGAATCAGACTTTAAAGGATCATAAGCTGAGACTCTGAAGACTTAGACTCTAAAGCAAGTCAAACACAAGGGTCAAGAAAACTCTAACAAGTCACTATCAGACTCTAAGGTCAGTCAACACAAGGATCAAGAAAACTGTGATAGGTCACTTTTAGACTCAAAGAGCAATGTTTCTTTTTCTGATCACGTGAAGAGTTAAACAAAAATATTGAGAGACAATTGGAGTGCAACAGGTAAATCCTCTTGAAGAAAAGATATTTCAAATATAATTTCAAAGAGATTAACCATATCTAGTAACATGTCAACGTCTCTGATTAAGCTTCTCCAAGAATCACTTGTGCTCTTTAATGACTCTTTTCTATCTCTCTATATCAGGAGTTGAAGATTTGAAGAAACAATAACGAACCATTGACAATAAAAGAGTTGTTACTCTATCAAACAAAAAGCACAAATTTAAATTATAATTTTTTAAAACATGTATATCTTTTAAATTCTTAAGTCTTAAGAGTCTTATTGTGTTGTATTTTGTTTACAACTTTAATTATATGTCAAGTGTAAGAATTAAGAAATATGTTCTTTGTAAATTAGATTGTAAGAAATCTCTTTCTTGTGCGCTTGAG